CCCCCCCGGCTCCCGCCGCCCCCGGGCCCCCGCTCCCGGCTCCCGCTCCCGCCTCGCCCGGCAGCCGCAGGGACGCATGCGCGCGCCCGGCCCACCCCGCCCCTTCCGGCTCGCCCTTCACACCCTAGTTTCCTCCCCTCTCCTCCTCGTTGCAAAGAAATAGCAGCAGGTCTCTTTTAAAAGGTGTTTATTGATCATATACAAAATAAAGAAAACCTTATATATCACAAACATACACTATGTACAGCAATAAATACCCGGGGGGCCAGGCCCAGCGCCGCCCCTCCTGGACAATAATTTAGCAATAAATACTGCGCAGGGCACAGGTGGGCACCAAGGCTGCTGTCTGCTGGGCCAAGCGGCTGATCGCTCTGCACTGGTGCGAATGCCCAGGCCTCACCTCGCAGCCAGATCCCTGATGGCCCTACCCAGGTGCAAGAGACTGGGTCTCACCTTGCAGCCACACCCCAGCCCCTTCTCACTTGGATCTTTAAGGACCCGCACCCCATTTAGGGAACTCTCTACTAACCTCCCCCTGGCTTCAGCCCTGCAGGGCAGGCAGGGGCTGATCAACTCTGCTTGGACACACCTCTCAGCACCAGGAGACCAACAGAGCTGGACACACAATAGCCCTTGTCCTGTTGCCCTAAGTTGCCAGGAGAAGGCTTTCTGCACCCACTCCCATTTGGTTAAAGGCTTCAAGGACTAGCAGACAGAGAGGACGGGAGCAAAGATAGGACCGGGGCATAAAGTTGCTAGAGGGGCTGAGAGCCCAAATGGGGTCATAGAGAACAGGGAATTCTGTCAGGGACACTTCCTAGAACACTCCACTTTAAACTTCCAGAGACACTCATGCTGCTCACGCTGCTGCTCCAGGGACAGGGTAGAAACGTGCGCAGCTGGCCCAGCAGGTACAGCACACGCCCAGGGTACATGCCAGAAACAGGCAGGCCACAAGCAGCTCCCAAAATTCCACACTCTGTGTGGTACTGTCCTCTTCTCCACAACTGCTCCCAAACCAGGCAGCCAACAGGGACATGAAAACATGCCAAGAATTATTCAGTGGCTTTTGGGGAAAAAAAAAATCGTTAATGTGTTGGTTCCTTTCACCAAACCACAGCCTAAAAAAGTAACTCAGAAGATCCCAGAGCGGAAACAGTGCAGCAGGCTGTGGCTCAGACATCCCAGCTGTGGATGGGAGCTTTGGCCGAGAGGCCACACCAGAGAGGGAGGTAGTAGAGAAGTGGCCTCACCGTCTCAAAATGGGCTGTAGCTTATCAAAACCGCACACCCTGGCACTGAACACCAAGGCTGCTGCTAACACACACAGAATACACACAGACCTGAAAGGTGGACTGAGAACAGCCTGTAGGGAAGCCTGGTGATGACAGTAAACCCAGAGTAACTCAGTGTTGCCATGGAGGCCCTGCACTAATGGCACAATACCCAGGTCAGCAGCCAGACACGATGGAGGGGAAGGACTCTCTGGGGCCATACTCTAGAGAAAACTGATCCATCTCATGTGGGTTTTTCTTTGAAATCTGAGTGTCCATGTCCAAGGATGGAGGTCAGGCAAAGTCAAGGTAGGAGGCAAGTTGCACAATAATGGTTTACTTAGCGGAGTACTTTGGGAGACCTGGCCTCAGCCAGAGCTCTCCATTCGCTGTGTCAGAAAGTCAAACACAACACCCTCACAGTAGGAAAACAACCAACAATGATCAGAAAGACGGCCAACAGTCACACTTCGGACACAGGATTTACTGTCACGGGATCAAGGAGAAACACTGCCGGACTGGCTCAATAGGGAATGTGCCCCAGACTCAAGCAGATGCTGCAATCTGAACACTAGGAGCATGGCCCTATGCAGTCCAGAAGCTGAGATCCCCTCCTTCTGTTCAACCTCCTCTTTCTCACCCTCCTGCAAGCTGGAGCTATGCACACAGAAGGCCATGCTCAGTCATACACGACCACTCAGCCAGGACCAAGGAACGTGGAAAGCCTGTCCCTTTCCTCGGCTAGGCATGGGCATAATGCATCCCAGCTCTGCTGCCAGTCAGAATCAGCAACTCATCTGGGTACCAGTTTGAGAACCAAAGGGAGGGTATGAGGTCATCTGGTGACTTAAAATCAACAGTCCAGACTTCCACTCACATGACTCAGGCATCAATGGGAGTGTCTGAGCACCTGGAGCCAAAGAAGCCCACCAAAATGCCTGGGCTGGCAGAGGTCCTGCTCCCAGAGCACTGCATGCTGGGTCAAGCTGAGTGAAAATCCTGCTGCCCACGAGGTAAAGGCCTGTCAGGCCAGTCTTTCCTTTCAGCAGCTCACATTCTGTGCTTTTCAGGGATCCAGGGCCCCCAGAGAAGACACCAGCAATGCCAGAAAGAGGTCAAGGGCCATGTGACCAGACAGGAATACAGCCTCTTGCAGATGGGCATCCGCCTATGAGGAGCTTCCCGAGCCAAGCCTAGAAGGTGGGTAGCCTCTACTGGATTAGCTGGGCTGAGGAGGCGGGCTTGGACCCTGCAGAGAAGCACCTCCAAGTCGAACAGCGGATCCCTGGAAGACACAGATCCTGAAGGGAGGCATTAAGAAGGGCCCAGAGCCAAGAGCTGCAGACAGTGGGGAAGAAACAGACCTGGTCCTGAAGCCAAAGCCCTTGTCTGGCAACGGTGGAGAGGCCTCCAGGCTCTCACAGTGAGGCAGGGAAGAATAGATTGCCCCAAGTGGGACCCCTGACCAGTCTGCCTGGGAAACAACACCCCACAGAAGGGGGCTTTAGGGATAGCCCAACCCACAAAGTAGGCTTCTGGGGTGGCCTAGCCGAGGCCCCAAATGAAGCTATAGGAACAAAGCTGAGGCCAAGAGGAAGACAGCCAGGGACGGGTAGGACACAGCCCTGTGGGCACCCACAGTGACTCCTTGGTCCCTGCAATGCCACCACCCAGGACCAGAGGTGGTGGGTATGGAAGCAGCAAGGGGGCCAAGACAGCTCCCAACCTCACTTACTCTGCCACTGTGTCAACCCAAGCCCAGGACCCACACTCAAAGCCGAGGCTCAGAGGGACCAAGTGGCAAAGGAGGGGACCAAGTGCAGAAGAATGTGAGTGTGAGCTCTGCCTGGGACCCCAGCCCAACCCAGGCCCAGCAAAGCCAGCAGAAGCAAAAACACAACAAACTCCAAACAACAAACACATACACACACAAAAAACCATACACAGGGACAGCCACAGGTCAAAGGTCACCAGAAGCACCAGCACTTTACGGCTGCACAAAAACCTCACCAGGCACGGACAACACCACGGCACCGGCAAGACGGAAGCGGGAAGGGCAAAGGAGTAAGTCACTTTCGGTACAATTGCAAAAGATATCAAAGAGGACCGCCTCTGGTCGGCTCGCAGCTTGGCTTTTTTTTTTTCCTTTTTCTTTTTTTTAAACTAAGTTTTATAAGTAATGTCTGATAACTCTGTGTATAAAAACTAAACTCCAACAGCCACAGAGCTGTCCCCAAGTTTACAAGAAAGGGATTTTTTTTTTAAACCTAGCAAAGTTTATACTATACTTTCTTCCCTTTTCCATTTATATGGTCAAATGTTGGGTTTCTTTTTTCTTTTCTTTTTTTTTTTAAGACAATTTTATAAATACTCTGCAGCTTTTTTTTCTTTTTAGCTCTTAAACATATAATTTAATAACTTCGTAAAAGGAACTTCTCTTTTAAATAAAGGGCTATATAACCACACAAATAGGTCATGTAAACAGTGACACCGGACCCATCGCAGGACACACTGACACGCCTCCCACCCACACTTAGAACCGGCGATTTGGTCTTATCCAGTGCACTGTGCCAGGCTCCAGCACCATGGTTTCTGCCCCAGTGCCCAGGCTGGTGGCCTACCCATCCAGAGCCTTCAAGACATAACCACTTTTCAGGGCAGAGCCCATCTCTTCCTTCGGGATCAAGCTGAGAGGCCCACTGGAATCTGAAGAGAAAGCTCCCAAGTCCCACTGCAGACTGGCAGCCTGTAGGGCCTGCAGACCACCAGAGAGAAAGGGCAGACCTAAGCCCAGTGCACTCTTGTCCATTCCTGCAGTGCCCACTCTGGACTCCTAGCCTGCATGGCCTTGGTACAAAGGGGTTAGGGGCAACCCAACATCACTGTTGAACTGACCAATCCCAACGTACAAAACACACGCGTGACGACAAGGATGATAGGGGCTCAGCCCAACGCCCCTGGGTGCAGGTTGTGCTTTGCAGGGAAGGAAAGGGGAAAGGGAGGGGGAAGAAAGGGAACAGGAAAGGAAGAGGGACAGGGCTGCCAACTTTGCCACGCACTCAGTGGCCCCTAAAGACTGCCTGGCCACTGCACGGTGAGTCCTATGACCGAGCATCTGTTTTGGACTTTACTATTGTAATGACGCTGGTGGCAGCCACCTTGCCAGGGACCAAAGGCCCCAGGCCAGCAGCAAGGGGACCCCGAGCTGGGGCCACAGGGCTGCGGGCCACGGTCCTGGCAAAGTTCTGCAGGGCCTCATACTTGGAGCGCAGGGCGTCAAGCTCCAGCTTCATGCTGGCGTTTTCGGAGGCCAGCTTCTCCACTTCCTGCTGCAGCTCCGCCTTCTGCTTCTCCAGCTCCTCCTTCTGGGTCACACGCTTCACTCTGCAGCTGGCTGCGTAGCCGCGGTTCTTAAGTGTGCGCCGGCGCTGCTTCAGCTGGATGATCTCTTCCTTGGACAGGCCTCTCAGGTGCTGGTTCAGCTCTCGAACCGACATGGTCACCAGCTCCTCATCAGTCAGGCTGGTGCCATTCTCACCCGGCTCCCGCTTCACCTGGAGGAGAATTCACAGGGTCACGGGGTCACGGCAGAGCAGGAAGGCCCACCCCATCACACCCCGAGCCCAGGTTCCCCACTCACCTTCAAGGCCTTGTTTCCTTTATTGGGGGTCGTCATAACCCGGGGGCACAATGAGCAGGCACTCTGCAAGACACAGAGCACAGGTCAGGACCCTGTAGACCCCCTTTACACCCCAACAGGAAGCTTGCTGTCCGGTGCTCAGCCCACTGAACCTTGCCCTCACCTGACCTGAGCTGGGCTGCTTCAGAAGGCCCTTTCCCTAGAAAGACAGGTGGGAGATGGGGAGGCTTTACCCAGGGAAGAGCCAGCTGTGTGAAGGCAGAAGACAAAGGGAGCAGAGAGAGATTAGAAGGTCTGGGCTGCAGGAGGGGCAAGCCTAGAAGGAAGCTGAGCTTTAAAAATAACCCCAGCACTGCCCCAGAGCACACTGTTCCTGGCGAGTCACGCTGACTCAGCACATCGCCTCCCTCTCTTCCTGAGCCGCTCTCCCATTCCTAAGGCCAGCCAACAGTTCCCCAGGAGACCCACTACTGGGACCAACGGCAGGCAAGGGTCAGTCAAGGACCCTGTACTGCAGGGTCCTACTTTCCATGTATTTGTCCCTAAGCTTGCCCAGGACAAAAGAAAGCCCTTTCTCCCTCTAGGACTTAGGAGGCTGCTTCCTGCCTCATTTTGGCAGAGGACCAACCAGGTTTGCTCTAACTGTGCTGACTGGGAATCCTCTCACCTTCCAGGTAGCAGGCAATCCAGCTGGGAGGAGCTGAGCCCAGGCCCCTCCAGTCCTCCCTGTCCACCTCCTTAACAGATGGAGTAACCATCCTGTGGCTTGGTTGCGGCATCCTGTGCTCCTGCCCCACCCGATACTGGGTGTTTCACAAGGGCCCCCACAATTAACAGAGGGAGGGCACTGTTAGCTGGTAACAGGCAAGAGCCAGCCCCTTTTGGGTCACTGGCTAGTCTCTGGCTCTCTGCCTAGGGTCAGTGACCACAGGGCCAGGGAACAAAAGCACAACAGCTACCTTCTACGGTCAGCTACCCTCTGGCACTTTTTAAAATTTCTGATTTCTAAAGCCTTGCCAAGAACATTTTTGTATACCCAGGCTGGGAATCCCCCACTTAGCCCAGCACCATGGCTACAGATGCAGGGAAATGGAAGGAACTGCAGGAGAGGTTGTTGCAGTGTCTTCCAGGGGAGGCTGAAGGCTGTAAGCA